TAATACACCGAGATATGAGCTCTAATACGCCGAGATATGAGCTCGAATACACCGAGATATGAGCTCTAATACACCGAGATATGAGCTCTAATACGCCGAGATATGAGCTCTAATACACCGAGATATGAGCTCGAATACACCGAGATATGAGCTCTAATACGCCGAGATATGAGCTCTAATACGCCGAGATATGAGCTCTAATACACCGAGATATGAGCTCTAATACGCCGAGATATGAGCTCTAATACACCGAGATATGAGCTCTAATACACCGAGATATGAGCTCTAATACACCGAGATATGAGCTCTAATACACCGAGATATGAGCTCTAATACGCCGAGATATGAGCTCGAATACACCGAGATATGAGCTCGAATACGCCGAGATATGAGCTCTAATACACCGAGATATGAGCTCTAATACACCGAGATATGAGCTCGAATACACCGAGATATGAGCTCGAATACACCGAGATATGAGCTCTAATACACCGAGATATGAGCTCGAATACACCGAGATATGAGCTCTAATACACCGAGATATGAGCTCGAATACACCGAGATATGAGCTCTAATACACCGAGATATGAGCTCTAATACGCCGAGATCTGAGATATACGCCGAGGGTTTCACACGTGTGTCCACTGCAGTCTTGCTGTTGTCAAGGCAATGTGACACATCTAATATGTAAGATCAGATTTCATATTTTTCTTGCTTGGAATTCAGAATGGACATTTTTCATACGTGATAAGAACCTATGCCTTCTCGGATAGATTAGTCACCTTCGCAAGCATTTTTTAAAATGTGATATAATATGCAGAACATCGATTTTGGACCTACCTCATCTCTGTAACGCGCACCTGTACTGATATACTGTTTAATGTATTGCATAAAACTTGTTAGAATGTATCCCCATATTTTCACAAGGCAACTTGGTCAATGCATACACTCACTCCCCTCTGTTTCAATGTGTATCTTGTAGATATTTCTTTTTTTAATTTAAATTAATTTCCCCAAAGTTATGCATGAAGTGGATCTTGTGGAAGTGTTTTACTGCAGCCACTGTAGAGTGTTGGTAAGCCATTTTATATACATGCTTGAGCTATTTATTTTTATTTTACTGTTATGTTGTTTAGCAAATATTAAAAAATAATAATAATTTGGGATATGTATCAAAGTAATCAAATGTATCCATAGAAAAAAAATGTTTTTCCCCAATAAATGAACCTCATACTCGCTCTCTGGCCATCAGTGCCTTCAATACTGACAGAATGAGTTATGAAGATAAAGCAATAAAGCAAAATTACCATCCGGCACTTGGGTAACTTTTTACCATCAGAAACCTAGAGCAGAGAGACATTTGTTTTACACACACACACACACTTGAATACACTGCAGCATCACAGCAAAGCTTCACATAAGAGCAAGGCTCTACTGTAATTCAGAAAACAGGTCTTGTGTATAAACCTCTGTAGATTTCATTTCATCATCCTAAAAGTGTGCATACGCACTAAAGTTTTCAGATTTATTAAACCATGGACATGCCAGAACCTACGGAAGCGTATTGCATTCACTTGAGGAAAAAAAATGTACTCTGTTTTTCTGAATTAACGAGTTAATTATCTCAGAATTACGAGATATTTTTTCATGAAAATTTTTTTTTTGCTCTGTTTTTCTGAATTAACGAGTTAATATCGCAGAATTCTATTATGAGATAAATTTTTCTTGAAAAACATTTTTTTTCACTGATTTTATGAATTACTCAATTTTTAGATAATTAAAGGCACAATATGTAAGTTTTTTTCGCCACAAGAGGGCGCAGTTTCCAACAATAGCAAAGGCGTGGGTTGATGTCGCAGCGATGAGCTGAATGATGGGACTTGCTGTCAAGCTGATGGATCTAATAATGTTTATGGATGAGTGCAAACATTCATGTTTTAAAATTGCAGTGGTATGAAGCAGGTCGCGATTGCTAAAGAGACAGATATCACACGCGAGTCCCGCGGATATAAAGGAATAAGGACATTTAATTCTACTGAACTAGTAGAACTATACGAAACTAGCAGTAAGCTAGATCAACATTAGAATAACATACTGACCATATTCTAACATTTCATCATGTTGAGCTAGCGTTATATAACTTACATTGATTTGTTTTATGTACATTTGCTCACCTGTCTAATAAAGTTGTCAACTCGTGAAGCTCTGTCGAGTCCAAGTTAGTCGCGGACGTGGAGCTCTCGGCATCTCAAAAACGCCACGCTGATATTGATCCTCATTTTAGTTCTCCTTGTTTGTCCCAAAGTCTGCTTGCCATGGTCTATGTTTGAAAGAAACAAGAACTGTGTGCCGCTAAACGTTACGCACTACGCAGCTGTCCACGTCTATCGCCATGGTTACGTCATGGCTATGGCAGTATGAACGGAAACCGAGGATAGCGCGGATATTGCGTCATTGACAGGCGACATTTTTTTCCGGGACGGCCACTTATTTAAAATTGGAATTTCTCTGAAATAAAAAATCTTTGGAGACTTTTGGGATATTGTAAATACACAACTGCAGGAAATATATCACACTGTGCAAGTGATTTTTGGATATTTTATTACAAAATGCTTACATATTGTACCTTTAAGTCATTAATTTAGAAAAACATAGCAAAAACTTTTTCCCATGAAAAATTATCTCGTAATTCTGAGATAATGAACTCGTTAATTCAGGAAAACAGAGTAGATATTTTTCCTCAAGTGAATGCAATACGCTTCTGTAAGAACCTGCACAAAATTCGCTTTATAAAACCCAATCGGCGCCTTTTTTTTTTTTTTTTATAAATCCCGATAGGCTATGTATGTGAAAAAATGGCATACACACATCAACGTTCAATACATCAGGCCTCTGGGTCTTTAATGTAACACAATTAGAACCTATAAAGGGATGAAGAATGTGACTGCATTTTTTTTTTTTTATCTCATTTTTGCAACTGTGGAGATATAAATGACCATGAAATGGAGCCTTTCTTCCGAGACGAGTGAATACACAGTCAAATGTTTGGAAATAATTACGATTTTGAATGCTTTTGAAGTATGCTCACCAAGGCTGCATTTACTTGATCAAAAATAAAGTAAAGAAACAGCTGTGATATATTATTTAATTACAATTTAAAAATAACTTTTCTATTTTAACATACCGGTATTGTAAAGTGTAATTTATTCCCGTGATCAAAGCTGAATTATTTGCATCATTACTCCAGTCTTCAGTGTCACATGATCCTTCAGATGCTAACGGTCAGTTTCAGGGGTAACACAAGTTACGTAATCAGATTACTTTTTCAAGTAACTAATAAAGTACTTTTCCCATTCATTGACTGACAGCTCTCCTGTCCCCACGTTGAGAGAATTGTAGTTCTCGACTGAATGTGTACATTTACTCATCTCACTTGCACAAACTTGACACTGACATAGTTTAAGATATATCAGTACTTTCAGCTGACAGCTCAAACATCCAGTTTAGTCTGGGACTAGTCTTAAACCTTGTCTGTGAAACGAGGGGTTTAAGTATTTAATCTCACATTATTAACCACTGTCTTTGCTGCTGACCTTTGATCATACTCAACCACATTTAGCCATACTAATAAGCAAAAATGACTTTAGCAATAAATGTGATGTTTACCTGAAGTGTTGAACTTTCCTCTTCTGCATCCAGAATGGCAGCACAGCTGAAGGTTTGTTTGAGCGACGCCCTCTACTGGACAGCCGTGAACGGAGGTTTAAAGGCCCCCTGTCGTCAATCATCTTTGATCACCAACACGACATATTTAAGCTTTATTTTTCCTTGAATTTTTTTTCTTCATGCCTTATCTTGAATGTAACTCTAAACCCCTCATTTAGTATAGGCGGTTCTATGAATATGCAAATGAGCCCCGCCTCCACTCACTCACTCAGCTCAGAGATCCACTGGTTGACGATCACACGTTGATCTGATTGGTTACAAGGTCGTGTGTGACGTCAGGAACACCAGCGATTTCAAACCGTGTTTTTGAGACTGTCTTTGGTTCACTGCATGCAGTTTTAAGGAGAAGAAAATACTCATGGTTTACACATGGTTTGTCTTAAAGCATATTAAAAACAACACATAGACATAAACAACATTAAAAACTTGATTTTCACCACAGGGGGACTTTAAACAATTGACTTAAGGGTGTGAAAGAGCCTTTACATTTGCCTGAAACAGAACTTTTGGTTGTTGTTGTTTTTTTTGTTATTAAAATAACAACACAAAAGTAACGCAAAATTACTTTCCATAAAAAGTAACGTAATTAGTGACTTTTTAGGGAGTATCGCAATATTGTAATGCATTACTTCTAAAAGGTAACGTTCCTCAACACTACTGACAGTTCTTTTAAATCGAAATATTATTTCACAATATTACTGGTTTTAATGTATTTTTGTTCATATGAACCAGTAAGTTGGTGAGCATAAGAAATGCTAATTATTTCAAACTTTTGATCTGAATAAGGGACAAAACGAACCCGCTTCTAAATAAAGTAAATGTACTTAAGACAAATCCAGACGCACATTACAGTAAAAAAGAGATACGACACCCTCTAGTGTTCACTCCACTGAAGAACATGCGAGACTCTAAAACATGTCGGATGACTAAAATCATGCTCTGACATCTTTAATATTCATATTAATATTCATTATATATGGCATGAACATCTAAGGTTGTCCTGAACTGTATTCACATTGTAGTTACAGAACTAACATGAACTCGAAACATTTCATTACTGTACAAACAAATGCAATGATTACTAAATGTGCTCCTGAATATGATGATGATGCAATCAGTAAGACTAATGCAGCAACAAGCATAAGATAGCGCATTAAAGTGCATTGATTTGCTCCATTGTCACTTCAGTAATTGTGTCCCTGGAGAGTGTTGACGCTTCTGTCATCATTAAGTGTGTTAGTGTAAGAATGGCTGGGCCAGTGACACACTTCACTTCTCCACTAAATGAAGGGGAAGAGCCTCTTCTTCAGGATGTAGAGCACTGTGGCCAGAAACAGAGCGAGAGCTAAGAAGATCAGCAGTTTGTCGGTCAGCTCACGCCGGTTATATTTCAGGATGAGTTTCCGCCCCGAATGAATGGTTCCCGTCATGGCCTTAAACTCTTCATTTGTCTCTTGTACAGTCCTCGATGATGTCGCTGGAAACAGAGACAATTAAATACATTTAAGGATGGTGGGAAACAGTGTTGGGGAAAGTTACTTTGAAAAGTAATGCGTTACAATATTGCGTTACTCCCTTAAAAAGTAACTTATTGCGTTACTTAGTTACTTTTTTAGAAAAGTAATGCGTTACGTTACTTTTGCGTTACTTTTTTTCCACCTGGGCTGGGCTTGTTTTTTATACCAAAAAAGATATATTTTTGGGCAAATGTAAAGAACAATTTGGGCCGCTCAAACAAACCTTTCAGCTGCTGCTGTTCTGGGTAACAGAAGAAGAGGATGCAGGAGAAACAAATTTATTTTACTTTACCAATAAAAACATGTAAAAAAATCTATAGTCATTTTTGCTTATGGTTTAACTGACAAATCGGAGGTCAGAAGCAAGTACTTTGGTCAATAAAGATTAAATGCATAACAATTTGTTTTATTTAACATATTTAGGTATTGGAGGTTTGCATAGTGTTCTGATTCTGCATTTCACTGAGTTTATTCATTTTGAGGAATATTGAATCTTTTTTGTGCAAGTGAGATGAGTAAATCCACGCTTACATTTAATCTAGAACTATTAATAACCATCATGTTTACACACAACGCCTCTGCACTTCGATTTGTCTCAACATTAGGACAGAAGAGCAGTCAGTCAATAAAGGGGAAAACAAAGTAACTTGCGTTACTTATTAGAAAAAGTAACTCAGATATTTTGTTGTAAATTTTAAAAGTAATGCGTTACTTTACTAGTTACTTGAAAAAGTAATCTGATTACGTAACTCAAGTTACTTGTAATTAGTTACCCCCAACACTGGTGGGAAAGTAATGTCCCTCCAGAAGGTTAAAAGCACATCGTGACGTGACCTCTGTTGTTGGGAAACTTTACTTTTCCACTCGTGCTTGTTCAGTTTGGTCTGGTGGGTCACGTGATCATCAGCTTGTTTTGGTCATGCGGAGACTTTACAGAAGAGCAGATGTAAGACAGACGGCTGTCGACAAGCAACGTCTTCCATGTTGTTAAAGTTTTATAATCCAATGTTAACGATTTACATTTAACTGGAGGAAAATTAATACTTCATATACCAATATACCAGGCCAGATTCACATCTCAAATCATGCGTCGCAGATTCTAAAAACTCAATTATCAAAATTGAATCTGCAAGTTTAAATTAGATATAAAAAAAAAAAAAACTTATTTCACTAAATTAATTACTGGAAAAGTACGGTATATATATATATTTATATAATTTCATCTTCACAAAGCCAGAAACATTCACTGTAATCCCAATTGTAGAATGTCCTCCTCTGATATAAAGTCCCGTTTTACTTCCTTTAAGAAAATGTCAAAACCTTTGAACACACAAGCTTGGAAAACATGTATCATCCTTGAGTCTGTTGTAAGGAACCTTTCATTTTTCATGATGACAAAATGTTATATTGTGATTTGTGTAATTCTTATAACCACTTGTGATGATGATGTCCGTACACCCCACTTATTTCTTACGGCTGATATCTGTATCCTTTCGTTTGCAAAAAAAAGAAAGAAAAGCTTATAGACTAAACATATACAGTGTTTCCCCTACCATTGATTTAGGGGGCGGCCCAATTTTTTGCCTATATGAAGACACAAATGCATGAACTTCCTCTCCAGGCTCTAGATCCACTCCGAAAATCACTTTGAGATCATTTAACCGCTTCATTTGAGAAAAACTATCATCATGACATAAACACAGAAACTCAAAAGGTCTTCACGGCAACCCGTCAAAATAAAAGTTCGGTTTAACTTGACAAAAATATATTACCGTTGTATGGTAGAATTTAGATATGTCCCAATGTAATAATACTAACACTAATCCAAATAAATTATCATCAAAACTGAATTTAAGGAATAATCCATGTTTTAATTTTAACAGTAAAGCTCATTGTGCAGCACGTTATTTGACAAAAAAGTTTATTTAATTTCATATGATTAAAATTGATGATAAATGATCAAATTTGTGTTTTATGTCTTCATTTTATTACCAGAAAAAACACAACACAGAGTTGGTGAAATTTATTTTCATATATTTTTTTAAATGTTGTATAAGTTTAATGATTCATAATACATTATTTCAATTAATAAGACACACTTTTTGATTGCTAAAAAATTTACACCATGTATCCGTAACACACCCGCTCTGCAACACTAGCAGTTTCACCCCCCCTCCCCCCCTGAAAAAAAATCCTAGGGGAAACACTGATATAATACGCATCTGCATGATGTCACAGTTTTCCAGATTCATGTTTTTGTGGTTTAACACCGAGATGATAAGGGTGTCGGTTTCAAAGGTTAGCGTTTTCAGTCGCCCAAAACGGCGTTGTCGTGTAAATCAATGGCCAAAACGTCTTCTGTTTTTAGTTGAAAACCGTGTCGTGTAAACGGCCTCTATAGACTAATGATATTTCTCAGACGTGTTGTTCATTTCTTTAGGTGTAAAACCTTGTTAATCAGCGATAGCAATAAATCACTCATACAGGTGAAACTCGAAAAATTAGAATATCGTGCAAAAGTTCATTTATTTCAGTAATTCGACTTAAAAGCTGAAACTAATATATTATATAGACTCATTTCATGCAAAGTGAGATATTTCAAGCCTTTATTTGTTATAATTGTGATGATTATGGCTTACAGCTTATGAAAACCCCAAATTCAAAATTAGAATATTGTGAAAAGGTTTTCATAAGCTGTAAGCCATAATCATCAAAATTATAACAAATAAAGGCTTGAAATATCTCACTTTGCATGTAATGAGTCTATATAATATATTAGTTTCAGCTTTTAAGTCGAATTACTGAAATAAATGAACTTTTGCACGATATTATAATTTTTCCGAGTTTCACCTGTATGACAATTTGCTAAATGTCTACTAATTTGTGCATGAACTATTCCTTTAACAGATGGCCATTTTGATATCATGATGGTGATATGATTATAATTTTTTTTACCCAGACTTCCGATGGTCTCTTCGCTCTGCTGCACCTGCTGTGACATCATACGACTGATGCTCATCAGACTCTCGGTGATGTCACTGGACGTTTGCACCAAACTCTCTTTAGTGGCCTTCCTGAACCAGGAACAACACGGCGGATTGAGGAAACATGGATAAAAGAGCACTGGCTAACAGTGTCGAGGAGTAAAAAAACTTAATGCTACATACAATCTTATTATTATTATTTTTTTTGTCAAACTGGATTCTAATTGGCTGAAATAGCAGCATGACTTACCTTTGTCTCACTGAGTCGCCTCCTTGAAGCAGTTCATCCTTCTCCAGATGATCGATGGCCAGCTTACAGGCCAGATTCGCCTTCCTCCAGGCAATCTGGTTACTGAGACATGATGAGAGTAGTGATCATGCGGAGATTAAATCTGACATTCAATACATAATCAGAAAAAAAGATTGGAGAATAAAAAAAGTGTTTCTCTAACCTTAACATCTGCTTCCGATGGCTTTGCGTTTCACTCAAGAGAGCTTGCTTTTCAGTCTCTCGGTCTTGTTCTTTTGCCATCTGTTCCATGTCCTATCAAAAACGTTTCGTTTTGCTGAAATCAGCCATGTTAACAAATCCAATATTACTCAGATTTTTTTTTTAAATGGAACTTTATTGAATTTTTAAACAAATTACAGAATTTAAAAAGAGAAAGTTTCTCTCCTCATCCTTCCGTCTGTCTTTTCCTTCGTAGTAAAGATTTATATTGTTAGAAAAGATTTATATTTTGGGTTTAGGATTCAATGAATCCTGGAAAAAAGCATCACAGGATTAAACTGTTTCCAACATTGATAATAATAACTGAGTATAAAATCATCATATCAGAATGATTTTTGACGGATCATGTGACACTGAAGACTGGAGTAATGATGCTAAATATTCAGCTTTGCATCACTGAAATAAATTTTATTTGAAAGTATATTCAAATAGAAAACCAATATTTTAAATTGTAATATTTCACAAATCTGTTTTTTTGTTTTTTTTTTGGTCATAATAAATGCAGCCTTGGTGAGAAGAAGAGACTTCTTTCAAAAACATTAAAAATAGTCATGTTTCCAAACTTTTGACTGGTACTGTAAATACCTGGAAAATTTCAATAATCCAATTATAATCATTATACAATTACGATGGATATTATCCAGCTGTCCATCACAAAAATGTTACCATAATAACAATAACAGTAACTTGGCATTATCCACAGTCATTAAAAACTTAATAATAATACAAACTAGGTTAAATAAAATAAATGTAGATATACAATAACCTGTATTATAGATCATTTTAAAAAAAGTTAATTATTTAAATAAATAAATAAAAAACTGACAGAAAGACGAAAGTAACGTTGATTCTGGAAGCGCCTTGTATTTTGAATATCATTATTATCGTAGTTTGGCCCTGTTACTGTTGCCCTGGCATGTATCTTACTGGTTGGATGTAACTTACCTGAATCCTCAGTCTTAACTGGTTGAACTTCTCTTTGACAGTGGAGTTGAGATCCAGCAGCACCGCCTGTGGCCCACAGCACTCTCGTATATCCTGACACGAGAAAAACAAACAATTTACTGTTTCCATTCATGCTGACTGACAAAGCCATGGCAATTGTGGCCACATCTTTATATTTACAGTTAGTTTTTGTCGGACGAACTTGACAGCAAAATCCTGGCTGTTATGAAAATAGGAAGAATGAAGTCTACCTGAACAAGAGCTTTAATTTCCAGATCGTATTTAACAATCTCTTGTCCACATATTCGGACGTGTACATCGGCAGAGGACGCCATCTTTGTTGTTATACGGTACGTCAGAAGGTCCAGGCGTTAACGCATTTTCATAACGCCTTTTTTCTTGATGCGCCCTGCAAAACTGTCCTGGGAAAAGAGAGGAATGCGGTGCATACATGATACTTTATAATACGATTTTCCTAAAAACAAATGCCTTGTGTATTTATATAGGGTTTATTACGTTGAGAAAAAAAATGTATGTGATGCTCTTTTCTACTTTCTACTGGAGTAATGGCTCACAAGAATACAATAATAAATAGCATTTTAAGATAGAATACCATAGCCAACTTTCAGTGCCAAATGTAATGTATATTATTTATTTAAAATAAGCTAGTTGGGATTGTTTTGCGCAGTTCTTAACATTCAAACATACTGTGAAAGATAACCAAACCCCACACATAACTACTGACATATTAGCAGGGGAAAGTTTGTGGTTTCGTTTTGACTGAGAAATGCATGACTGTTGCCAGAAGTGACAGGCATCCAAGAACTGAGTGAGGAAGAGAAGAAAGGAAGAACAGAATGAGACAGTTGGGTATTGGGACAGTTATAATGTTGTCAACCTGATATTTATGAAGAAAGTATAAATCTACAGCTTGCACAATTTAAATCTGTGTGATCTGAGTTAAGACAGATATTGCGGTTTAGAGAAAATGCTTAGCATTTATTAAATGGATAGTTTACCCCAAACTGAATATTCTGTCATTACTTACCCACTCTCATGTCGTTCCAAACCCATAAAACTTTCGTTCATCTTCGGAACACAAATTAAGATTTTTTTTGATGAAACCTGAGAGATTTATGCCCCTCCATAGACAGCTACGCAACTACCACTTTGAAGGTTTTAAAAAAGTTCATAGAGAAATCATGAAACTAATCCATATCCATTTTCGAAGAGACTCAATAGCTTTATATGATGGACAAATTTAATTTAGGCTTTTATTCACATAAACATTGATCAGTGCACACATTAGTAACGGAAAAGCTTGGGTTAACGGAAGCTCAAGCTTGTTCGCTTGATGTGCGAGAACCGATGAGGTTCATTCTCGTGTTACGCAGCACGTTTGAGCTTCAGCAAGAACCAATGAGGTTCATTCTCGTGTTACGCAGCACGTTTGAGCTTCAGCAAGAACCAATGAGGTTCATTCTCGTGTTACGCAGCACGTTTGAGCTTCAGCAAGAACCAATGAGGTTCATTCTTGTGTTACGCAGCACGTTTGAGCTTCAGCAAGAACCAATGAGGTTCATTCTCGTGTTACGCAGCACGTTTGAGCTTCAGCAAGAACCAATGAGGTTCATTCTCGTGTTACGCAGCACGTTTGAGCTTTCAGCAAGAACCAATGAGGTTCATTCTCGTGTTACGCAGCACGTTTGAGCTTTTGCAAGAACCAATGAGGTTCATTCTCGTGTTACGCAGCACGTTTGAGCTTTTGCAAGAACCAATGAGGTTCATTCTCGTGTTACGCAGCACGTTTGAGCTTCAGCAAGAACCAATGAGGTTCATTCTCGTGTTACGCAGCACGTTTGAGCTTCTGCAAGAACCAATGAGGTTCATTCTCGTGTTACGCAGCACGTTTGAGCTTCAGCAAGAACCAATGAGGTTCATTCTCGTGTTACGCAGCACGTTTGAGCTTCAGCAAGAACCAATGAGGTTCATTCTCGTGTTACGCAGCACGTTTGAGCTTCTGCAAGAACCAATGAGGTTCATTCTCGTGTTACGCAGCACGTTTGAGCTTCAGCAAGAACCAATGAGGTTCATTCTCGTGTTACGCAGCACGTTTGAGCTTCAGCAAGAACCAATGAGGTTCATTCTCGTGTTACGCAGCACGTTTGAGCTTCAGCAAGAACCAATGAGATTAATTCTTGTGTTACGCAGCACGTTTGAGCTTCAGCAAGAACCAATGAGGTTCATTCTCGTGTTACGCAGCACGTTTGAGCTTCAGCAAGAACCAATGAGGTTCATTCTCGTGTTACGCAGCACGTTTGAGCTTCAGCAAGAACCAATGAGGTCCATTCTCGTGTTACGCAGCACGTTTGAGCTTCAGCAAGAACCAATGAGGTTCATTCTCGTGTTACGCAGCACGTTTGAGCTTCAGCAAGAACCAATGAGGTTCATTCTCGTGTTACGCAGCACGTTTGAGCTTTCAGCAAGAACCAATGAGATTCATTCTCGTGTTACGCAGCACGTTTGAGCTTTCAGCAAGAACCAATGAGATTCATTCTCGTGTTACGCAGCACGTTCGAGCTTCAGCAAGAACCAATGAGATTCATTCTCGTGTTACGCAGCACGTTTGAGCTTCAGCAAGAACCAATGGGGTTCATTCTCGTGTTACGCAGCACGTTTGAGCTTCAGCAAGAACCAATGAGGTTCATTCTCGTGTTACGCAGCACGTTCGAGCTTCAGCAAGAACCAATGAGATTCATTCTCGTGTTACGCAGCACGTTTGAGCTTCAGCAAGAACCAATGGGGTTCATTCTCGTGTTACGCAGCACGTTTGAGCTTCAGCAAGAACCAATGGGGTTCATTCTCGTGTTACGCAGCACGTTTGAGCTTCAGCAAGAACCAATGAGATTCATTCTCGTGTTACGCAGCACGTTTGAGCTTTCAGCAAGAACCAATGAGGTTCATTCTCGTGTTACGCAGCACGTTTGAGCTTCAGCAAGAACCAATGAGGTTCATTCTCGTGTTACGCAGCACGTCTGACCTTTCAGCAAGAACCAATGAGATTCATTCTCGTGTTACGCAGCACGTTTGAGCTTCAGCAAGAACCAATGAGGTTCATTCTCGTGTTACGCAGCACGTTTGACCTTTCAGCAAGAACCAATGAGGTTCATTCTCGTGTTACGCAGCACGTTTGAGCTTCTGCAAGAACCAATGAGGTTCATTCTCGTGTTACGCAGCACGTTTGAGCTTCTGCAAGAACCAATGGGGTTCATTCTCGTGTTACGCAGCACGTTTGAGCTTCAGTAAGAACCAATGGGGTTCATTCTCGTGTTACGCAGCACGTTTGAGCTTCAGCAAGAACCAATGGGGTTCATTCTCGTGTTACGCAGCACGTTTGAGCTTCAGCAAGAACCAATGAGGTTCATTCTCGTGTTACGCAGCACGTTTGAGCTTTCAGCAAGAACCAATGAGATTCATTCTCGTGTTACGCAGCACGTTTGAGCTTTCAGCAAGAACCAATGAGATTCATTCTCGTGTTACGCAGCACGTTTGAGCTTCAGCAAGAACCAATGAGATTCATTCTCGTATTACGCAGCACGTTTGAGCTTTCAGCAAGAACCAATGAGGTTCATTCTCGTGTTACGCAGCACTTTTGAGCTTCAGCAAGAACCAATGAGATTCATTCTCGTGTTACGCAGCACGTTTGAGCTTTCAGCAAGAACCAATGAGGTTCATTCTCGTGTTACGCAGCACGTTTGAGCTTTCAGCAAGAACCAATAAGGTTCATTCTCGTGTTACGCAGCACTTTTGAGCTTCAGCAAGAACCAATGAGATTCATTCTCGTATTACGCAGCACGTTTGAGCTTTCAGCAAGAACCAATGAGGTTCATTCTCGTGTTACACAGCACGTTTGAGCTTTCAGCAAGAACCAATGGGGTTCATTCTCGTGTTACGCAGCACGTTTGAGCTTCAGCAAGAACCAATGAGGTTCATTCTCGTGTTACGCAGCACGTTTGAGCTTTCAGCAAGAACCAATGGGGTTCATTCTCGTGTTACGCAGCACGTTTGAGCTTTCAGCAAGAACCAATGGGGTTCATTCTCGTGTTACGCAGCACGTTTGAGCTTCAGCAAGAACCAATGGGGTTCATTCTCGTGTTACGCAGCACGTTTGAGCTTCAGCAAGAACCAATGGGGTTCATTCTCGTGTTACGCAGCACGTTTGAGCTTCAGCAAGAACCAATGGGGTTCATTCTCGTGTTACGCAGCACGTTTGAGCTTCAGCAAGAACCAATGGGGTTCATTCTCGTGTTACGCAGCACGTTTGAGCTTCAGCAAGAACCAATGAGATTAATTCTTGTGTTACGCAGCACGTTTGAGCTTCAGCAAGAACCAATGAGGTTCATTCTCGTGTTACGCAGCACGTTTGAGCTTCAGCAAGAACCAATGAGGTTCATTCTCGTGTTACGCAGCACGTTTGAGCTTCAGCAAGAACCAATGAGGTCCATTCTCGTGTTACGCAGCACGTTTGAGCTTCAGCAAGAACCAATGAGGTTCATTCTCGTGTTACGCAGCACGTTTGAGCTTCAGCAAGAACCAATGAGGTTCATTCTCGTGTTACGCAGCACGTTTGAGCTTTCAGCAAGAACCAATGAGATTCATTCTCGTGTTACGCAGCACGTTTGAGCTTTCAGCAAGAACCAATGAGATTCATTCTCGTGTTACGCAGCACGTTCGAGCTTCAGCAAGAACCAATGAGATTCATTCTCGTGTTACGCAGCACGTTTGAGCTTCAGCAAGAACCAATGGGGTTCATTCTCGTGTTACGCAGCACGTTTGAGCTTCAGCAAGAACCAATGAGGTTCATTCTCGTGTTACGCAGCACGTTCGAGCTTCAGCAAGAACCAATGAGATTCATTCTCGTGTTACGCAGCACGTTTGAGCTTCAGCAAGAACCAATGGGGTTCATTCTCGTGTTACGCAGCACGTTTGAGCTTCAGCAAGAACCAATGGGGTTCATTCTCGTGTTACGCAGCACGTTTGAGCTTCAGCAAGAACCAATGAGATTCATTCTCGTGTTACGCAGCACGTTTGAGCTTTCAGCAAGAACCAATGAGGTTCATTCTCGTGTTACGCAGCACGTTTGAGCTTCAGCAAGAACCAATGAGGTTCATTCTCGTGTTACGCAGCACGTCTGACCTTTCAGCAAGAACCAATGAGATTCATTCTCGTGTTACGCAGCACGTTTGAGCTTCAGCAAGAACCAATGAGGTTCATTCTCGTGTTACGCAGCACGTTTGACCTTTCAGCAAGAACCAATGAGATTCATTCTCGTGTTACGCAGCACGTTTGAGCTTCAGCAAGAGCCAATGAGATTCATTCTCGTGTTACGCAGCACATTTGAGCTTCAGCAAGAACCAATGAGGTTCATTCTCGTGTTACGCAGCACGTTTGAGCTTCTGCAAGAACCAATGAGGTTCATTCTCGTGTTACGCAGCACGTTTGAGCTTCAGCAAGAACCAATGAGGTTAATTCTCGTG